CGGCCATTTTACTGGCTGATCTTCTTCTCCGTTGGCCCTCGGAGATTCGTCTGGACAGCTGGAGGAGCCGCCGCTTCTCCGCAGCCGGACAGCAGCCTCCTCAACAGAAGTCGCACCCTCCAGTAAAGCCACATCATCCTTAATGGCCTGCATGTCTGGGAGTTACAGTGGCTGTAACTGGGACTGCCAAGATAGCTATTGCTAAGTGATGCAAGTGACTACATCACTTATGGACAGCAAATGCCATACTAATTGCCATTGTAAGCTGAGGGCTATCTGAATGCAGGTAGTCCTCCTCCTGAGACCCTAGTTGAGACCAGAACTTCCATGGCTGAGTGAAGCAGTTGTTAATGAGTCATATCTAATTTTATGATCATTTTTGCTACAATTTTTAAGTGAACTTGGCTTCTCCTATTAACTTTGCTTGTCAGAACCTTCTCGGGAAGGTCACAAATGACAATCACGTCACCCTGTGACACCAAGTGCCCAAATTTTGATCACATGATGTGAGGATACTGCGATGGTCATAATATAAGGATCGGTCATAAGTCACTCTTTTCAGCATTGTTGCAACTGTTGTTAAATGAATGGTTGCAAGTCGAGGACTGCCTGTAAAAGTCTTCATAGTTTTAACTTATTACCCTGCATCGCTTGTGGCACCATCTACTTGTCACGCTGCCATGAAACATTGCCATTCAGAGTTAGATATCTATTGCTATTTCCATGTATTTCTGTTCCTCCTTTCTTTCAGACATTATGTATACTTGCCAACATAGCAGATGGAACAACAGCTAAAGAATTCATCATGACAAATGATGATATCTTACAAAAAATAAAGTATTACATGGTATGTAATTTAAGTTTTTCTATAATTAAATTTGGGGAAAAGATTATAGCCCAGGGATTTTTAGCATTTGATAGAGTGCAGTGCTGTTTGTGCCTCTAATTTTCTTGAATACAATACCTTTCCTTTTTTTAATATTTTTTCAATTTTGCTTTCATAATAAGAAAAGCATATGATTTCTTATATTTCATTATTGTGGGTAATAATTTGGAGGCAAGAAACCTAGATTACATAAAGGTTAAGAAAGAAATGTAAATTTTCACTTGAGTTCCTGACATATGTCTCTTGGCAACAATATGGAACTGGTTTGCCATTGATGTCTGCCAGAATGTGCTTGTTGTTGGTTTTGTTTTTATAATCAAGGCTGTAGTTTCTTTTCCAAGTATTAACTAGATCTGCCAGGGTAACAAAAGAAAGCAATAGTAAACTAGATCCATACTTTTGCCAATAACATTACTTGGTACTGTGAAGTCAAAGAGTCAACTTCAAAAGGGATTTGATTTTACTAACTTAAAATATTTCTGTCTAAATATTTTTTGTCTGCTTAGAGCCACTCAAACGCTAAACTTCAACTGGCTGCCATGTTTTGTGTATCTAATCTTATATGGAATGAAGAAGAAGGTAAGATATACTCAAGGGATTTATCTTCTGAAATGCTTAATTTTAAAATGAAATTGTATTTAACAGTTGAACATATGGAATGCATTTTTTCCATCCAGGGAAAATCACTACATTAAAAGACAGGTGAAGTGATTTTTCCAGGAAGTTACCTGGAAAAAAATGAAAAGAGCAATTTCTAGTGCATAAAAGTTGAATAGTTAGACATTTTTATCCATTCATGACTTTGGGTAGATCAAAAAATGGAATAGCCATAAATGTGAAAAAGCATACTATGGTAATCAAAAATTCAAATTAAGGATGAGAAAGGTTGATTCATAATACTGTATTTTAGACTGAATTTAGAAATGTAAACCATTGGTTCATTTTATGCTCCAATTGATAAAATTCTATATTTCCCCCCAACTGAATTTATGAAAATTGAACTTTAGTACATAAAAATATTAAATTTCCTGAAAAGGGCAGGAAATCAGCCAAATTATTAATTTAGCAATTATGGAAGAATCAAACAAAACAATTCTTACTTCTATTTGGAACAGAACTAAATATCTCCAATGAATGATATGAGTCTGCAATGTTAATTTTTATATGAAATTATATAACAAATAGGAATATAACCCAGAAAAAATTGAAGAATATTTGAAAAGAGTACTTCCTTAAAAATTTATAGAATAAGTGGGTTTTTTTCCAGAAGATATAGTTGAAAGTCAACTTAAAAAATGAAATTGAATAAAGCTCCAGGAAATTTTTATTCAGATATTCAGATTTTATTCAGATATTTTATGCAGTTAACATTTTTTCAAGAAATTTTGACTAAACCGTTCTCATGTAATGAACAAGTTTCAACCACATGAAAAAGCTTTTATTTCTTTAATCTAAAAAGTAGGAAAAGATTCAACTTATCCTGAATAATATGAACCTATCTCTCTGTTGAATGTAAATTACAAGCTTTTTATGGCAATTCTTGAATGCCAGGTCTGTTTGTATCCTTCACAACTTGTGTAGAAAAAAAAAGCAGAGCTGGTATGGGTGACCAAGGCCTGGCAAGGTGAGAAAGACTTATCTGAAATCTACCCATATTTGTTTCAGGTGTTTCTGCAGGCTTTTACATTGCATTGTGTATTTGCCTTCCCACTATTTAACAGTCTGGGCAAGAGACATAAAATGCGTCAGTTACCAACATGCAATTATTTTATATTAGGTTCCCAAGATCGCCAGGATAAACTCAGAGATATTGGAATAGTAGATATTCTACATAAACTGAGTCAGTCATCAGATCCAAATCTTTGTGAAAAGTAAGTAAACAAATTCCAAAATCAAATTGAAATGAATTTGATCACTTTGTTATTAGATTTTCTGTATATTGATTTGAGTTGTATATGAATTCTGTTTCTCCTTGCATTCTGTGTTTTTTTCCCCCTACAAACAGAATTGTCCCAATTTTTTTAGGGTGGCTTAGTGTTTGTGTGAGAAATCTCCTATGCTTGTTTTGTTTATGTTATGCATGATTCTGGATAACTAAAGTTTAAACAAAGGCAACAATAATATCCCAGAACATAACAAACCAACTGCCAAGATAAAAAACTAATTAGATAACAAAAAAAAATAACTATTTCACAGGGTCATACTGACAACCTGACCCTTGTGCCTCAGGACCTTCAAGTTGGCAAGATTAGGGCAATCTAATATCTGGGGCAAAGGTGTTCCAATGAGCAGAACAAAAAGGCTAATTTTTTGGGTCCCACAAGATGGCACATCTTAATTGAAGGGCCTCATACAATGTCTTTTCTGCCAGATTGATGGTATGATTGGAGAAAGGCACTTCTGCAAATATCTTAATAAATGCCCCATGGCACGAATGGCTTTATAGCAGCATTTTGAATTGTATCCAGAAACATATTGATAGCAAACGCAGCTCATGGAGGAGATTTGTAATGTGTGTATATTGAGGGGTGTTTATTACTGACTGCATAAGTGCATTTTAAATTCAAGTCAGCCCCATGTAGAGAGCATGGCAGTATTTCACCTAAAGGGCAAGCAAAAGTTTACATATGTGGAGATATCTCATTTAATATCTTCCCTCCCCAATTATTATATCTGACTGAAATATCTTTGTATTTTCACATGCTGCTCATTTCAGTCAGGTTCAATCCAAGATAGATACCTTTTTTAGGGTTCTCAGAGTTGTAAAATGTATGCACTCTTATGTGAAAGCTGCTTGAGAAATTATAAATAGAAAAGGAATAGGCTGATTCTAAGTACAAAGAACCTTGTAGTAAAATTACAAGCAGATTTGTTTTGCGATGTTCAGTTACTGAACTTCATGTATCCAGTTTTCAATGTGCTATAGTTTATTCCTTGCATGGTAGCATTTCTAAAATCCCCATTTATGTATATCCTCTAAAATTAAAAAAATGCTTTTCATTGCAGGGCGAAAACAGCACTCCAGCAGTACCTTGCGTGATGAAAGAGAAGTTGAACTTTCATATAATTTTCAAAGCTATATAGTAAGGAATAATGGGAAATAGCTGCACCTAATTTCCTTACCTTTTGCACAAGGCACCTTGGGCTGCATTTGTCTCAGGTGCAGGGAGCTGCTTGGCAGGAGCAGTTTAAGTGATCAGGTCTCCAATGCACTTGAGGACTTTATTGAGGTAGTTCCTCTATTCAGATATCTGTTCTGGGATATTTTTGTCTGAACTACCTGAATTCTACTCAAACAATCAGTAGTCTTTTTTCTTTGGGCCTACAATATTCTGCTTATACCACAGCTGATGTAAGGCTGTGTCTGGGTGGGTGTGATACCTCAGAGCTTTTTCTTTTTCTTTTTTCCCCCCTCCGTGTGTGTATGTGTGTGTGATTTTTTTCTACAGATTTTCAAGGGTGAACCATTGTTTGCTGTATAAAAACTTTAAAAAATTATATACAATTTGAATTGAAATGTTATTTAATAACAGTTTTGTCCCATGAAGTTTATTTTGATCAGATGAATGTTTTTAAGTAAAATATATGCATTTGTTAAACCTCAGCTTAATGTACCTGTATTTCCTCTTTTGAAACAAAAAGATACGTATATGACAGGTAACAGATGCAATGTGATTTATGCTTGCCTCTTACTGCCACTTGTTACTAGTGACAACTCCTTGGATTAAAGAAAGCAGAATTCCAAGATCCCCAAATGGAATATTTTTCAGTACACATAAATGATACCAAAATTGGAATTGTGGAAATTATACCTATTGGAATTTTCCAGCAACAAAACTAGACTTCCCCATGCAGATACAATGCTGCTTTGGAAACTTATATTTATTATAAAACTGTGTTACTTTTACATAACGTGAAATCGTAAGAGTGAATTGATTTAAGTAAAAGAATTGACTGCTGATTGGAAGTACGCTCTTAGAAAAATTGTAGGCATCCCCATAAAAAATCTGGATGTAAATCAGACTTTAAATATTTTAAAAATACATTTTTATCACATATACATGGTAGAGGAATAGGTTATTCCTGCAGCAGAGAAGAACAATGTTAAAATGAGTTTTTTTATATCATTTTGTAATCTCTGCCTCATACCTTGTTGTTTACCAAGTAAGTTTCCTGTGGTCTTAAGCCCACAGGTATTGGTGTCAAGGGACAAGAGCGCCAGTCATAAATTGAGTGTCTCAGTCACCAGTTTCAGTCATACCAAACATTTATTTATAGTTAATAAATATTCTGCTGCCTAGACACTTTGCATTATATCAAAGCAACTTTTAGAGCTTGTGCCTCGGCTGGAACTGTTAATAAGCTGGAGGGAGACTGCAAAAATAAAGCTAGAGTTTTTATATATGGTTTTCATGTTTTCTTTTACTCTGAAAGGCAAGTCATAGCAATTCAGGGAATGTAATAGGTGAAATTATTTCTCACTGTTATTGCTACAAGCTTATTGGGTTCGGACTTCTGCAGGTATGCATAATGCGCTCTCCTGCTAGTTAATATTTTAGAAGTAAAGCCACAAGTCATCAATTGGTTGTAGCCTTAATAATACTGAGAAAAATCACTTTCTTGACAGCATTATCTGAATCCATTCCCTGTGAGAAAGGCTAGGGAGTGCTTCTTTATCTTGACCACTGCTTTTGCACTCTGAATTATTATTATTACACAGGCACTTCCAATTCTGTGGAATGACTCCATTTACACATATGCATATCCTTTGATTTTGAAATATAGATATGCTTAAACCTGTGTTGAATATAGCTGGGAAATGCAAATTTTCAGCTATACATTTGAAGATTGCTTTTAGAATGGCTATGTATATGGAAGGAAGATATAAACTATGCTAAGACAATCTGGATAATGGGGGTGGGCAAGGTGAATGGATGAAATATTAAGATGGTAAGTGATAACAAAGTGACATTTTGCACTTTGCATTGTGAATATTTTTGATGTTGCTATAAATATGTACAAACACTGTAAATAAAAAAAACAAATGTCCTTTTATCAGATAATATTATTTAAAATTGCTTGGCCCTATTTATATATATATATTTAAGTCTTCATTCAAAGGTTATATTGTAGGCATGGATCTATGCACATTCAGCTACGTCCTTTTAGGAAGCTGAATGTTCTAACTAAAATAAGGTTCATTTTCTAATCTAATCTCTTTTAAAAAATATGATAAATGAACTTGTACCAAGCCCGCCTTATGACTTGTCAAAATAAGAATAATAACTTTTTAAAATGTTTTCTCTTAATTCTTTTGTTGAGAGTGGCTCAGTGTTGAATGAATTTAAGTTTCTGAGCATTTGCCTCTTATTTTCAGGGTTGATTTAAAAATTTAATATACATAGGGTAAATGTTCTTCTTTATTCTGCACCAGCTTTTGTTTAACGTAGTAAAGTTCACCGTACTCTTTCTGTTCTGTTTTCTACACTTCATCTTTTCTATCCTTAACTCTTACTTCAGTAATCCCTTTCCTGTTGTTTGTGTCTTCTTTGTGATATTGTACTTACATGAATAAGCCGTATCCCAAATGCTTTAGAAAGCAGTTAGATAAATGATTTATTTTGAAGAAGCTGGATATGAGCCCAAAATATTCTAGTCTATTTAATTGAAAATAAGACAAATTGCAAGAATTTAAAATTTAAAAGCTATGAAGTTAAGACTTGGAAATGGAAGAGGCCAAAGGCAACATCAGAATGCCATTTATAATTGAGGCTAAACAGTGATTGAGTTATTTTGCTTTGTATATGGTTTTCTTGATTAATTTAGTTTAGAACAAATATGATGGAGTCTAGGAATATTAATCCAATGCAGCAGTGCCTTTCTTAATCAGTTCAGATGCTGGTATACTTGCTGCTGGCTAATTCTGAATAATTTAACAGTCATACATAGCCATATAATGATGCATAAGATTGTGTCTTTCTGGGACAATAATATTAAATTACATTCTTGTAAAATAAGTTGAAAATTGCCATATATTGCTCATAATTAGGTTTTTAAATTCCTGTTAAGTGGGAAAATATTACAGATGTTCAGCCTTTTGACTATGGTGGGAAAGGGGACATCAGTCTTAAGAATGTAAAACTGTTGATTTGCTCTTAACGAAACCAGCATTTAATTTCCTAAGGAGGATAAAGAAACAAAAAGAAAAGACACTTCAGTCCATCTCTATTTCCTCTTCCTTGGGATTCAAGACATTTCAGGAATACTGTCTTTGGCTACATTTATGTATGATCAAGTTAACTTCCCTTTGAAATATTTTGCAAAGAGAATAGAACCTAACTTGAATTAAATTAAAGTCGTCTTGATATTTTCAACAGTAGTCAATTAAATTTTTGTATTTTCTTTTATTTCTATATTGTTTTGTGCTGTTTAATATATACTCTATTCTCAGTGTGTGTTCTACATTCTACATAATTTTTTAAATCATTTTTGTCCCAGATTTCAGCTGAATCAAAATTAGCAGGAAACCCGAGCAAGTAGGACAATACTGATGGATATAACAATTGCCTTCTCTCTTCTCAGGTGTTCCTAGCATGACATAGCCCACCAGCTTTTACCTCCCAAAACTTCCCATTACTTCCCTTCCCTGCCTCCCTCAGCCATGGCTAATGTTCTTGCTTTTTTTCACATTCTTCTCTTCCAAATACTGCTTTGAACAGTTGTGTTTCAGCGGAATAAAAACAGTCTTGTTACATTCTGGCCCAAACACACATGTTTCAATGTGAGCACAAATCACTCCCAAGATAGGTACACAGAACATGTCTACACCATTTTGCACATTTTTTTTTTTTTTGAAGAATTCAAGATAGTACAACCAAGCTGTTATTGTTTGTGGCATGTGGAGTTATTTTCTGGTGCATGTCAGAAAATATAAGAACTGTTACAGTAAATAAAGGAAAGTATAGGTACCATAGGAATTGATATGTTTATCTTATCGATAACACCCTAAAAAGTACTGCCACTCTTTAGCCCTAATAAATGCATATTTAAAGTAAGGTGAGAGTTCAGATTGAAGTTGATTTTTGACTATTTTGTTTGTCAATTTGATTTTCTTGACTGCAGTAGAGATGTTATTAGTGTAGCAACACTAATCAGCCTTGGTTAGCCTTAAAAATATACTATGCATTTTGGAAACCATGCATAAAATTCTAGGATGAGAATTTGAAAAGAATATCCCAGAAGAAAGTATGGCAGTATGACAAACTGTTGCAAAAAAAACCCAACAACAATATGACTACAAACTTTTTTCCCACGACCCATTAGCCCCATGAATTCTCCTTGAAGACTGTGCATCAAGATGGATGGTAAGTATCTTAGCTCACCAGTGTTACTGCAACTTTGTATCTGCTTTTTGCTATTTCTACACCTAGAGAAAGTAAAGGCCAAGATTCATCAAAGATTCTTCAGCATCACATACCAGACAGACTTGAGCGCTACAGTCTACAGGAGTGAGTTCCTCCTTGGAAACCTTTTAGACCTGTGAACACCCTGTTCAATTTAGCCTATTCGGCACACTACAGAGCGTTTTCCTTGGCTCACTTCAGGGCAATATAGGATCTCAGATTTCATAAAATTTCATTCATTGAGAGAAATTGGCCCTGTGATCAGAATGAGGTTGTATATATTTCTTCACTGTCCCTTCTATGCAACTTACATGCTATTGTGTCTGTACTATCCTTTAGTAGAGATCATGTTTTCCATGAAGGAACATGGCATATTTTCTGTTCCCAGACCAGAAGCCTGAGATTATGAACAGAATGCCATGTTTTTATCAGCAATTATTGCCATAACAAAGCTCAAATCTTGTAATGCTGTCACTAAGAAGTCTTTATACTTGTCTTTATTTCATTTTGCTTAGTCTCTCTCTCTCTCTCTCTCTCTCTCTCTCTCTCTCTCTCTCTCTCTCTCTCTCTTTGCAAATTTTAACTGGCACATCCATTTGGTGATTTTATCGCTCTTACTGTACTTTGAACATGCTTCTATGTACAGATTGTTTTAATTGTAGTTAATTTGCTGGTCACTGGTTATAAATAAAATTTCAATTTCAGTAAGAACATGTAATCACCAGGATTTCAAGGGAAACTATGCTCTTCTATTCTTTCAAAGTTTTTGGGACTTTTTAAAGAATGAAAATGTTTAAGTTGGTACTGGAGAGTAATAAAACTATATATTTAATAAATGAAAAACATTCTTTCTTTGACAGCATTTTGTTGTAACTTATATGGAATGTTATCTAATGTAGTAAGTTTGCTGGATGATATTTATCATAATTCTTATTCCCAGGTTCTTTTTACTTTTGAATATTCAGATACTGTTTAAAATATTTTTTTTAAATATTATGACAAATGCCATATAGTTGTTTAGAAACTGTTCTATCATTGCAAAATTTCTAGAAGCAGGAGGTGGTATGGGGAATGAACCACTGAGTGATTCAAACTTAGTCTGCTTTCTGAATAACAAGAGTGTCTTGCTGGGCAGATGATTTCCAAGTTATCTTTCCAAGTTAACTCCATTGGTGTCACTCATTCGGTCACAATGGTGGCTTTCCATACTTATAACTTATAGCTGAAAGAGGTGTATCTCAGTATTGCATGTACAACAATTTCCAATAATAATTTACTCAAGTTTAGAAGAGTCAGTATCACAATCAAAAACAGGAAGCTATAATAGGAAAAATAAAAATTGGTATAGATACACCTGCATGCTATTCAAAGTGTCTATGATATAAACATTAGCCACTTTGCACAAGACTATACATTCAGTGCAGAGATGCAAAAGGAATGACAATAAGCCAAATCCCATTTAGTAATTTGAATATAATTTGATTACATTAGTGAGTAAAAATTAATTGAAATGAAAACAGATTTTATCCTTGTGTAAAATGTAACCTGTAGCTACATATGTATTTTTGAATTATGCAATTAAGAAACTTGTGCAGAAAGCTTTTCCAGTACCTTGGTTCATTAACTCTGCTCTCTTGACAAATGAACTGTAGAAGAGAACAGTTGGTTGGCTGCTTCTACACAAAGCAGATTGAAGAATGAGAAAGTGAAAAGAAGGAACTCAGAGTTTGTTCTTGAGACAGTGCTGGAGGGCCTCTCCCATGGCTTGGAGGACTCTGTCAACGTTGGGTTTAGTGGAGTTATAGCCCATCAGTCCAATGCGAAGAACCTGATGATAAAAAAACATTTAAGTAAGTGTTTTGTGACTGTCTGGAAAACTCCAGCCACCTCTTCCCTTAATTTTACCTGTACACTAGAATCATATTTATAATTTTTATTATATATGTATAATAATTTCTCTCGTAATAAATTCAGGTACTAACATGCTGTTTCATACAGGCTACAGATTATTAGATACTTTAATTTTTTGATAATCTTTGAGACTCTTAAATCACAGAAATGGTTTGAGGTAATATGCTTTAAGCGTCTTCATTGTTTATAGAGAAAATATCAACATCAGAAAGATTGCTATATTCTAAAGAACATGCCGGTTTTTCATAGACAAGATGAACTTACAGCCTTTGCCATACCATTAATGTTAAAACTTTGGGCTATATAATTTGTAATTAATAGTTCGATTTGTTTAATGCAACCTTTATAAAGTATTATTCTTCAGGAACCAGGCAACCACATCTGATTCACTATTTTCTCTCCGTGACCCTGTATTTATTTACCTTGCCTGCTAAAGGACCCAGGCCTCCAGACACCTCAATCGCATGATTTTTCATAATATATTCAGTTATTTCCTTCCAGTCATATCCCTCGGGCACAAAAATAGTGTTGACTGTTGGAAGTCTTGCATCCTTAGAAAAGAAAGAAAGCAAAACAGCCATTCAGGTGGTTTGGGTATTTGAATAATACTTTATTTCCAGAATTTGAAGGATATTGTAGCAATAGTATTAAAAGGAAATTTATTCTTTAGTTCTGGCTTTATATCTGTCTCCCACACTCACTTTTGAGAAGCCTCTTAGCAAAAGTAACCAATTCTATATTAAAGAATGGGTAAATTCAAAAAATAGCGTGCATATGTTTATACACTTTTGGATCAGGTTTTGCCACCTTACAAAAAATTATTTTCAAGATATGAAAGTGGAATAAGTATCCATATCTCCAGTATGATCTCTTTCCTCTGGCTTAAAGTCTGGAAAAAAGTAGGGTTTTTTTCTAGTCTGCTATGTGAACAAGTACGGGTAGAAATAGTATTTGAGGCAAGGATTTAATTCTGATTCCCATTTTTGATTTTGTCTTTGTAGCAATCAATTTATTACCTACTTTGCTCAGTTATCTAAATTTACCCTAAACAATCTTCTCCATATAAAACTTCATAATGAGTAATTAGTTTGATCCGTATTCTACATTTGTGATTAATTTCATTCTTACTGGTTCTTTCACAAAGGGTTTGAGACCTAACTTCTGCAGTCCTGCACAGAGATAGAGGCTGTTTTCTTTATGAAGCTTCCAGGACGTCTCTAGTCCCTGTGTAGAAAATGAAAATATTTATTTTCCTATATACAAAAAAAGTTTTAAAAAATCTAAAAATATATGTTATGCATTTTGTTGTTCAGTTAAGTTTCCAATCTTAAGGATGTGATGGACATAATTTTGCCTGGACTGTCTCCAGCAATTTGTTCCTGAGTTCTTACGTTATAAGCGATCATAGATAGTTTTAGCCACTTTGTCTTCTATTGGCTCTTATTTAACTGTCTTAAATTTTTCTCCAGCCTTAGGAATTTGTCTTCATGATTCATTCTTTTGCCTATGTCCAGAATATTTAAGTTTTAACTGTATTACTGATAACAATCTGAATTTATTTCATCCAGTATTGATTGAAGAAATTCTTTATGCAGCCTGTGCTACCAGAATTCAAAGATAATCCATTTTGTTTCATGACCACATGTTGTGACTGGGGAACAGTAGCCTTGCTAAGACATTTGCATGGAAAAAATGCAAGCACCTCTGGTCAAATTCTATAAGTGAACTATAGGTAATACAGCTTCTATGGTACAAAGTGAAGCACAACATCTTTCCATAAATTTGAATACATAATATTCATGTACCATTGTTTACAGACTCAAAGTAGCCATTCAGTAAGTACTTAGTAAAAACTTGGCAGAAATAACAGCTTCCAAACATTTGCAGCATTTCCACCCCTGCCCGGATGAACCTTAACTGACCCTAAATGTTCACAAAAGAGATAGATTCTATTTTGGCAACACTTTGCCTAATATAACTCAGTGCTGCACTGCAAGGACTTTATTTTGCCACAATCAGATATATAGCCTCTGGGTGCCAGTTCAAGATTTCTAGAGTCACTACAGTTCAACCCAGGGTGGTGATGTGAACTGGTATCTGCATATTTATGATACTTCATCCTGAACCAATTGATAACCTATCCCAGCAGTTTCATATAGATATTAAATAATATAAAGGAGATGACCAAACCCTAGGGAATGACCACCAGCTTGAACTGCCCGCTTAAGTAGGATTAAGTATGTTACAGATGTATACACCAATGTGTGTGTGTATAAAATAGTAATATTTTCTTTTTTAAAAAATGCTATTTTCAATATTATAGAGTGCCTGCAGCAACTGACCTTTTCTGCAAAAATTGCCAAAGCTTCTCGCAAGCAGAAGAATGTACTGATAGGTGCAGTATGATGATACCTGTAAAAACGGCATATAATACATCTAGCAGCTTATACAGAAACAAATGAAGAGATTCCAGCTATAATCTTTTATGTTGCCGGTTTTAATTTTAAAACAAGACTAGGAATGAAAGTAGAACAATTTTAAGTCAATTAAATATATAAAGTCACAGTTAAACGGATATTTCTTTTTTTGTTGGTGATTTTTTTCATTTGATTTATATTCTGCCTCTCCTTCAAAATCTTGAGATTATGCACATAACACTCTTCCTTCCACTTTTCCCACAGCAATTGGCCTCTGAGGTAGGTTGGATTGTTTAACTAAAATTCATCTAAAGAGCTTTCATAGCCAAAGGAAGACTCCAAGAATCATAATTTAAGAATTAAAAATTTGAAGCTGAGTCATGCAACTTGCACATTTTCAAGGCAAAACAAGGGAGACTGCTTTGAAAATGTGAAGAAAGGCAGGACTGAGAGATCAAAGCTTTTGATTATTTAGCTCTATAAAATCATTTCCTGCATTCTCACAGATAGACAGGTAGTCCTTGATTTACGACCACAGTTGAACCCAAAATTTCTGTTGTTAAGCAAGGTATTTGTTAAATGTGTTTTACCCCATTTTACAGTCTTTCTTGCATCAGTTGTTAAGTGAATCACTGTAGCTGATAAGTTAGTAACCTGGTTGTTAAATGAATCTGGCTTCCCATTGACTTTGCTTGTCAGAAGATCGCAAAAGGTGATCACATGAGCTTGGGACATAATCATAAATATAAACCAGTTGCCAAGTATCTGAATTTTGATCATATGATCATGAGAACTCTGCAAAGGTCCTGTGAAAAATGGTCATAAGTCACTTTTTTCAGTGCCGTTGAACTTTGAACAATCACTAAACAAAGTGTTGTAAGTCAAGGACTACCTGTAATCAAAAGGCTGGTATTATTTAACATTTTCTCATTTGGCAACATAACAGATTAGTTCCCAGACCAGTTCCAGGAAACAAGAAAGCCATTTTCTCAAGAGCAAAGTAGAAGAGCTATATAAATGCTTACTTTCTTGGATTACCATCGCAGCCCCAGTATGTAGATAGCTCTTCCACATCCAGGTAAAAGGAAATTGGTTTTGTTTTCCTAGTATGAATCTTCTTTCTGGCAAGATGAAAATTTTTGATTAGTACTTCAGGAAATTCACCCTCAAAGTGGAGCCATTGTCTATCATTTATTTTTAAATGGTTCGTAGTATATGGTCTGTACTGAGCACCATGGTGGCCTAGTGGTGAAGATGCTCGCCTTCCACTTGGAAGGTTGAGCGTTCAATCCTAGATAGCAGCATATGTTTCTCATCTAGGGCACAAAGAAAAAAAATCATCTGTGATCACCCCATGGGGTCAGGAAAGGTATCGGCCAGTAAATGCTCAGCTTCATCCAGTTGCCCCTTGTCAGAATCCAGTTATATTTCATCTCTAGTTATCAACTATAGAAAACCCCATTTCTGCCTTCTCTGGATTCTGTCATACGATGAAGGGAAGGGGGTGAACAAAGGGGCTTTATGGCCCTCACTTCCTTCAGTACACTTCAAAGGGACTGGATGTGGATATCACCAAAAGGACTAACCATAACAATAGGGCTATTACCTTTCATGTACTCCTCTCTGAAGTCTCCATCCAGCCGGCAGTAAGGAAAAGGGGGTGGGAGTGTAATGCCTGAGACTGTCGCTGGAAGAAGGGAGTGATTGGGTGGGGCTTCTGGGGAACCCCTTAAAACCTTGAATGGGAGAGCTTGGACCCCAAGTCCTGTCTAGAACGCCTGCAACCATTTTCTCTTAATAAAGGATGCCTATTGGAAGAACTATTCCAAGAGTTCTGTCTTCTTAAGATGCAAAGTGGGGTGGGTCCTTACACCCCTACTGTACACTGAATTAAGGGATTACCGGATTGTAAAAAGGGAGTTTTTAGTAAATGCTCTTGCTATGTTCAGCACTTAATATGTGTCTGAAAGTTGCATGTCAAACAAGGGAGGGGCGGTGGGGGAGAAGGTTGTAACATTTGGACCAGAACGTTTCCTGAGAAAATGCAGTAATTGTACCACTGCCAGCAATTTACCATAACACAGTATATTCCAGTTCTTAACATTCATATCATGCAGGAGAGCCAGTTTGGTCTAGTGTTTAAATCACCAGGCTAGAAACCAAGGAAGTTATGAGTTCAAGTCCTGCCTTAGTCATGAAAGCCAGCTGGGTGACTTTGGGACTGTAGCTGTGTTTCTCAGCCCAACCCTCCTCCCAGGATTGTTGTGGGGAAAATAGAAGGAGAAAGGTGTGTTGGATGTATTTGTAAAAATAAGAAAGGTGGGATACAAATAAATTCTTGGGTAGGTCCTTGGTACTGCTGCTAATTCAGGAAGCAAAAGCTGTATGAATATTTTAAAATGAATATACCTTGCTCTGCATCTATGTTATGTGTGTACTTGTATGCATTCTGAGCTTGGACAATACATTTTCCAAGGATGGTTTGAAGCATAGTATTATTACTCAGTGGAAACAACCCTGCAGGTTAAAGTCAAAAATTGTAAACCTGCCTGCAACTGCTAAAATGTGTGACAGTCTTGGAAACAGAATCTATGCAATCAAATAGAATGTTCCTACTATACCTCCTGAGATTTTCAGATACACTGTTTTGTGTACTGAGGTGCTTTATTAATTGGTAAAATGCTTGCTTAAGGTTTACAAAAAGGCATGATGTTTGGACTCTGAGATTTAGATACTAAGACCAATGGATTTGCCATTGCTGCCTTCCTGCAGCTGTGAACTCAAGGTCTCCTGGTTTCTACCCTGATGCCTTAAACCAGGGATCCCCAACCGCCGGTTGCAGCCCACTATTGGGCCATGGCCTATTTGGAATTGGGCCACGTAAGTGGCTGGCTGGAATGCACGTGCACACATGAACAACTCAACTTGTGGGGGGGCAGGCCAGCGGGCATTTGCGTGTGTGTGCTGGCCTGCTCCTTGCGTAAGGACTGCATGCGTGTGCCAGCCCAGTTACCCTCTTTCCCCCAGCCAGGCCATCAGGCCCCAAAGGTTGGGGGCCGCTGTCTTAAGCCATTACCCCAAACTAGCTCTTTTTTCACAATAGGTTCTGTGTCACCATGTTGCAATAAGATTCTCTGTTGTAGCATCATGCCTGTAGAATAGGTTGGACATACAGCTGTGGAAGCTGCTGATTATCTTTTATTTTTATATAAAGCTCTGAGGAAGTTTTCTCTAGCTATCTACATGGTGCTGCCTTCCAGATATATTCAGTTCTGGCAATTGTGTTTCTAATATATCTTTGTGCTCAGTGGATATAATGAAATAAATATGTTCTTATTTCTCTTACTCAACGTATGTCTTGTCCAAGAAAGATAGACTACTTGAAAATCATATGTTTCATAGGCAAATCTCCTTACCTGGCTCTGTTGCTGAAAGAAATGGGAGAAGCACCAGGTGGTGCACTTAAAACTTTCTGGGAGCCAGAATACAGAATGTCAATACCTGTGCATTTAATAAGAAAATTTGTTAGGAGCTTCTTCATTTGAATCACTGTTATTAATGCAGGAAATAAATTTACCATAAAAAAACCCTTGGGTTTTTGCTTTCTACTTTCTTCTGCCTCTACCAGCATTTTGTGAGACTAGCTAATTTTAGAATTCAATGTGAAGTTGATTTGTTGGAATGCAGTGTTCATTTTATATACAGTATTATGTGGCATGCATTACTGCACAAACTGGTTTAGCTATCAACATCTTTCCCACAAATGCCAAGGTCTAGGAGCAATTTAAAAAAGAATATAATCCTCTAGACTCTTTAGGAGGGGCACTTATTGGTTCATGTAATTATGTTTTCATCAACCTGATAACCCTGTAGTATTGTCAGTTGCCATTTCTATGAATCAACTAGCATGATTTTTAACCATCTGTTTCCTTCATTCCCAGTGAATGAATCTCTTTGGATTACCTAAACATTAGCTTCAGATTTAATTAATTTTAGATTTACTTATCACTCTCTGCAAGGCAAATCTGTATTTTGGTACAAGGGCAACATTTTTCTTAGATTTATATCCTGCCTAAGAGTTCAAGGGGGCTTATAGGGGGATACCTCTTCATTTGATCCCTTTGAAGCAAATTGGTAGGAGGCAGTGGTGGGATTCAGCCAGTTCGCACCACTTCAGCAGAACCGGCAGCTAATTTTTTGTTGCCCAGGCCCAGTATGGACTTCCAGAAGCGGCATCCACACAGAGAACTGGTTGTTCACATATTTGAATCCCACCACTGGTAGGAGAGGGATTGACTGGGCAGAAGCTAACGGTAGACTTGTCTCTGGATCTTCCTTGTTTTAGTCCAATACTTTTAATAACTACATATCAGTGGCTGCAGGAAAGTGCCTTATGGACCACATGGCAACAGTGGGACTTCCTCATGAAGTGGGCATCTTTCTCATGAAATGGGGTTATTTGCCTTATTAGGCAGTGGCTTCCCAATTAGGAGCAGAGGACTGGTTAGGAAATGGAAGAGCTTTGGAAACAGTTTAGGGATCTTCAGGGATTTTTCATATACCATGGCTATAATTTAAAGTAGAATTGTCTCCTGTAATATTTCTTTTTAATTTTTTTCTGCTACTGTTACTCTGCAATTAAAAGAGTTCATGCCCAAAGTATATTCTGAGCAAATTCACACTTATCTTCTAGTATGAAATTTAATTAAAAAGGGTTGGTCAAATAATTTTGAAGTAAAACTCAGTTCTACATTGGAAAAAAATCCAGAAATTAATGCTATAGAATAGAAACAAATGTTCATGCTACAAGGACAGATTGCTGTATCTTGCTCACCTTGCTGGTCCATAAGTATTGGACTGCCACCTAATGATGCCACAGCATCTACCAGTAGCAAGCAATTATATCTAAAACAATGAAAGAATGTATCAGGGATCAACTATTTTCCTACAAAGCGATCAATATCATATGATTTTACATGATGTTGCAGGTTTCAGTTTTAAAAAATGAATTGTTTTCAATGTTTTTAAAAATGAAAGTTTTAAAACTCATTTCTGGTAGAATTTCAGCCATTTTAATTGAAAAAAATTAAAACATTAATTTTTAAATATTTGGATTGATAGTAGCCAGCTGGCGATGCTGTAGGAGCCATATTGGTGATTTACAAGTAACTATCACGGACTTTTAATAAAGATTGGTAGAATTTAAATTATATGTTTAACAGATTTTCTTTGGATGTGCTTTGTAGTTAAATATTGGAAAGCTGTTAACTCTTGTCTCATGAGCAATGTTGGCTGGAGGGAGGGGTTAACTGAAAATTACTTTCTCAGGATTATTTTATTACTCATAGAAAAGGTACAAGACTTCCATATTCTTCCTCTATACAATTGAGCAACTTTGAGAAGTATACTTCTAATTGAACAAACAGTTGCATTTTGTAACAAAAAATAAACGGAGGAGAAAAATGAAGCATTCTCCGAATCTCTCTTTCCTCATCATAGTCTGCCTGTTTGTTGTAGATTTTGTAGCTAAAAGCAGGGCTTTTTTTCCTCATAGAACGCCCAGAATAGAGTTCCGGCACCTTTTTTGGATGGAACCTTGTAGTAGGGTAGGCAAGGTGGGTTGTATGACGTGTGTGAGTTCCAGCACTTTTTTTTTTTTTTTTTTAGAAAAAAAGCACTGGCTAAAAGTAAAACTATTCTTATTTCTATGTACTTGAGACGATCTTGTAAAAGTAAAATTTTGTCCATTTGTCATTTTGTTTACATAGATGTTTGGTAATGAAATGTCTTTAAGAAAAAAACCAACCTCAGAGAGCATCAAGGATCCCCAAACCCCTGTATTTCTGATACTTTATTATTATGCTACTCAAATAACAGAGTTATTCTTCATTAATCATAGGGATCCACTATATATACAGTAAGGACATCTTAAATGTCAGATGTACCCATACAAGCCACCTTTCCTCCTTAGACCACTTCACTGAAATTCAATAACAACATAAATTATCATTGTACAGTTTTTATGACCAACAGTTTTAGAAGCTGAATTTTAAAAAGCACCATTGCTAGTCATAAAAAAATCTGATCATGATCTCATTTGGTGTATGGTTGCATTATCTTTTCCACACATTAATATATGCACTGTATGCTCTGTGTATTATTGTTTCTTTGGCTCATCTTTTTTTACTACTACAATTTTGCTATTTTACTCTCTAACATGTAAGCTACCTTGAAGTAGCCTACAAGCCAATCTATGTGTCACTATTATACTCCCCTGTAGTCTAATTTGTAATATGATTTCTGTTTTTATTTTATTGTCAAAGCCAAGCATTTAGCTGAAATACTTTTTGTATTGAATGACAAACATATGCAATAGATTTTCAGTACTTCCCAGATCCCTCTTCAGATATACTTCTAAAACCAATGGTGTTGTCTTTTTTTCCTTCACTGACCTGTGGCAGAGATCTCCCAGGCCATCCAGTGGCTGAACTACTCCAGTGGAAGATTCTCCATGTGTGATAAAAAATAAAAAGGGAGCATGCTGCATCAAGCCCTAAGTGGCACATCAAGAGAAAAAAAATCATGCAAAGCAAAAACAAGTCAATAGCATGTTTCTAGTAAGTAGGAAGACGAATTTCTATGGGTTGTCCCTGGCACATCCAAATATACTTTTGATTCTTGCCCACAACTCACCCTTTCTATTTCTTCTAAAGTAAAATATTCTCCAGGAGCCTTTACCAATTGATGTACTTCAGCTCCTATAGGGAGTAAATAATATGTTTCTTAAGCATAATAATAATGTGGAATTAAAAGCAAAGGAAGAAGCAGCTCTTAAAACTTCAGAAAAATATTAACGCTCAGAAAAAAGTAAACAAATATGTGTTTCATATCTCATAAAGTATTGACAATCCCTTCATTTCATGGGAATTCACTTTATTATGAACTGAAATAAAAGAAATTGTCTACTTAATATCCCTTCAGAAATTCTAAGTTAATGAGTTTGGATTTTCTTAAGTAAAAATCCTTTTCTTAAACAGTGAGCTTCAGACAAATTAACACAAAATATTTCTCGGCAAACCTTGCAAACTTGTGCTACAGTGATTTGGACTAGCCAGATTGTATTACTGGTTCAATCTACTAATTGTATGATTCAGCCTTTGAGATTAAGGATTTGGATTAGATTAGCATTCCTGAGTAACAAGGAGACTATAGTCACTTCACATCTCAGTAGGAGAGCACAACCAACTATTTTAGAGTCACTGTTTGCTATGGGTCATATATTAACTTGAACACATAGCACTGACCTGTCAAAGTCCAACTAGATTCCATGGGACCTTCTAACATATGCTATCATTATACGTGGGTTGGGGGGTGGAAAATTAATTATTAAAATGTCTCACTGATTATTAAAAAAGCAAAAGGACTTTTTTCTAAATTAAGAAAAGGCAAAGAGTCTTACAGTAATCTTAATGTTATTCCATCAGGAATTTTAACCCAATTCAAGTTCTTACACATAAAGGCTGAATCACACAATTAGAGGATTGAATCAGTAATGTAGTTTTTCAAAAATAGACTATTATTTCATTTTGTTTCAGAATTAAGTACGCTGATCAGCAGCAGTTCTCCAGAATTTTAGACAGAAATCTATCTCAATTGGAATACTTTTTGTAAGCAAAGCACATGTGCAGCTACTATATCATTGAAAGGTAATAGATTTATGGTTTGCTCACTTTTTCAGATATATAGTGATAACCTAAATTTTATTATTTTTATATATGAATATAATAAAATAATTGCATTAAATCGATACCTTCAATTTAACATGGTGGTCACATTTACAAGCAAGTCAGATATGACAAAGATATTAAACAGTATGGATTTTATAAAGAGCAGACTATGTTTGATCATACATTACTAACTTCCGATGAAAAGTTAACTTAAAAAATGTAAATTTCTTATTAAATCTCAAAATGGAAGATGAACAAGTAAAAGAAACAATGATAGTATGGGCAAAGAATTTTGGATATAATATAGACTTAGAGAAGTGGCAAAGTTTGTGGGAAAGAAACTATAAATTGACAATGTCAGCTTCATATAAAGAAAACTTGCCACCAACAACATTAGCAAAAATGTTTAAAAATATGTCAGAAATGTTGGAAATGTAAACACAAACCAGGTATTTATTATATGTGGTGGACATATGTTAAAGCAAGGAGATACTGGACAATAATGCACACTTGGTTAGAAAAAATGTTAGAGAAACACATAGACTATAAACCCAATTTTTTTTTACTAGGTATAATGCCAGAAAAACTTGATAAGCAAAGTGCATATTTGATTCTACATGTGATAACAGCAGCAAGAATTATATTAGAAGAATATTGGAAGAACGAAGAAATACCACCAGAAGAAGAAATAATCAAAAAAATACTAGACTGTGCGGAAATGGACAAACTTACTTTAAGGTTGAAAGAAAAAGAAGAAAGAAATAGAATATTTTCAAACTTGGGACATATTTTATCAATGGTTAGAGAAAAGATTTAGGGATTAGGAACTTAATTTGTATCAGTGAATAAGATACTCAGATTTTTGTTGAATGATTATTATTGAATTCTGTTAAAAATAAAACTTGATTAAAAAATAAAATAATTGCATTAAAGGATTTTAACAAATGGTATCACTGATCAAGATGCTGGCATGGAATAGGGGAGGGATTTAACTGTTTGCCCTGTGCTACATTGCTAGTTCAGATTATTACATTTGTGGATCTTCATCAGAAGAAATGATCCAGTTCAAAGTAATGGACGTTTTTCTTGAAGCTGCTGGCACTGGCTATGGATCTGGACCTCCACAAGGACAATATGATTCAAGCCTATCTTTTGCATCAACATGCGGGTTTGGACTTTTTAAATGGCTCATTTAAGTTGTTCATGCAGCTGGCAACTACAAGAATGGCCTTTTGGACAATTTGACCCTTACCCTGCCAAATCCAAATTATTTCAAAAGAAGAACTAGGACCTAATTAGTTTAATACATTACAAGAAAACCATGTAATAATATACCTATTACTGGTATTATGAAGTTATTAAAATTCTCATTCTTTGTACTTCTGAAAAGTATTATGGCTTATCCAAGTGTAATGTAAACTATATTTCATTACACTTGATAATTCTCTGCGATTTGTTTTTTTTATATATAGTATTGCTGTTTGTGCTTCATGTGTGCCACCCTATAATCTTTAATCCCAGCTTTTCCCAATTATAAAGCAGATGTAGCCCAGTGTATCTACAAGACAAAGCTGAGGAAAACTGTTTTAGTCTATGGATTTTTGTGCTACAATAAATCTCTTATTAATTATTCTGACATTGTTTGGGTTCATACATATGTAGTAAGCCATGATTTGTTTTAACCATGGTTTACTGAATAAGTTATTACCTACTCCAGGCATGTCAAACTCGCAACATCACGTGACGTCGAGCAACATATCACAACTTTTTCCCCATTGCCGGCAATGGGGTGGGCACTGTTTCCGTGTGACCCACCCAGCCCATGGGCCGGCAGTTTGACATGCCTGACCTAGTCCATTAAAATAATCATAAAATAAAAAATAAATGATTTTAACAAATTAATAAAATAATGAATAAATTATTTATAACATAATTAATCATGCCTTTTAACGAAGAAATGCTTAGCTTCATGCATATCTTTTATGTTTCCCTCAAAATGATTTATATGGGACAAATACAGCAACAACTTGTTGGGTGTAGTGAGATTGTAAAAACATAAATTGACATCATGGTAGCATCAGAGACACAGAAGGGTTTTTCATAGGATGGCTGTGACTAGAAGTATGCTCAAAGTCAAAGGGGATTTAAGATTAAATTGCTATAAAGATTAAATTGCTATAATGTAAAATGCAGCCAGTTGGCATTTCAGTGAGAGTAAATGACATGGTTCAGTAGAAAAAGGGAAAGAAATGTCAGTTTGCATCTAGCAGTAAAGAAGCTGGCTTTTAAATATATAACAAGAGGCTCCCAAGTTCATACCAAGTCTGCTTGCGATGTCAGTTGCTCGTTCTCCCCAAAATCCATTCACAGCTACTAAGACTTTGTCTCCCTGTTCCACCAAATTCAAGAAGGCGGCTTCCATTGCACAGTGGCCTGTGCCACTGATAGCCAGTGTGAGAGGATTCTGTGTCTGGAATATATACTGGATTCCCACCTTGATATCATCCATTATCTGAGAAAAAGAAGAAGTAATAAACTTTTCCCCATCAGGGATAGTTTAATGTATTTACATCTGAGAGTAACATGTATAGGAGAAACTAACTAATATTGTTCTATCAACTAAAAGTTATAAAAGTTATTTGTTTTAAACATACTTTGTTTTAAGAAAAAAGCCAATAGCTAGAAGAAACAGAACTGTGGTCAAAATGTCTCTGAAATTAATAATTCTTCATCAACTTTCTCCATTCTATTGCTGTGTGAATCTGGGGAAAATTGAACCAATACAGCCTATTTTCTCTAAGATTTATATGGCCTCCCATTTTAAAACACAACTCTGGATGGCTTACAACAATTATACTGTGTTTCCTAGGAATTTTGGTAAAAGTTCTATTTTTCCCCTTCCACCTATATCCTGACAGAACACATAGATTTTATGTTCAGCTGCTTTAAAACCTAAAATATTCCCTTAAGGTTAGAGCTTGTGCTCCTATGTAGCTGCCATGAAAATGATATGAGCAATGATGCAAACATGATTAAGTCTTGTTTTACTCATACAGGTTTTTGTAATTTTTATGATCATTGATCAGATTTCTGATCATTGATCAGATCAGACATAGTGTAGAACAACGAGGTTGAAAGAATTCTGAAATTGTGCTGATCAATTTCTCCAGTCTTGGGCAATTCAGCAGCTAAGTTCCAGGATGAGGCCAGAGAAAATGAGGCTAGAAAAGCTGAGGTACAGTATAATGATGCAACCAGATGTTAAGTCTTATTCTTCACTCTGTATTTCTTTTCATCAAATAGCCTACTGGTGGTTCTCTTTTTTATAATAAACAGTAATTCTGTTTCACTATGAGGGGTAAATTACAAATGTTAGAATTCAATCAAAGTTGCAATTATGGTATGGAAGAAGGTGTCTGATGATTTAGGATTACATGGGTTTTCAGGACATATCAATACGAAACATATCAACAACGCATGATCTTGCTATTAAGCCTTGAGAGCACTGCCTTGAACAAACTAACCCTTTCCAGGCAACAGAACTGAAAGGGGTATTTTTTTTCCACTGACATATGGAAGAATGAAGATATCAACAGTAAATTGTTGAATCGATTTAAAGATTTATAAACTGTTACTTAGAATATCAAAATTAAACAAAAGCCTATGGAAGTGTTCTCAATAAAGCTCTGAAAAATTAAATATCAAAAATGTCATTTTAAAAACTCCAGCTTTTCATTTGCCATTAGTTGGTTTTTTGGTTTTTGGCTTAATCAATACTATAAATAAAGTGGAATTAAGAGCATATGAGCTTTATTAGATTACAAATCAATTTAATATTAAGTAAATAAACATCTGTCAGTGTAGTATCTCAAGGATACAAAGCAGGGAGTGGAAATTGATGGAGGATTCCTGCTGATCTTAGGAGAAGTTGGAAGTGCAGTCCTTACCTGAATCAACTCTTTGTGTAGATGTCCTATGAGTTGTCGGCTATTAGCAGATAAGACCCGTGGAGAAGAATTGGAAGGCCCAGGTCCTAATAATAATCTTTCTGGAACAGTTAGTGGCTGTAGTAGAGATGCAGGGGGAGACATCCAATGTCTTTGAGAAGACATGGTACAGAATCTCTGAGTCACAACAACCGGCAGCCGAACACGACACCAACCTATTGCCTGCTGTACTAGGAAAAAACTGCCCATCGCTGACCTTAAATAGAAGGGTTGTTAGAGTCAAGCAAAATAAACAAAACTTAGATAAATGTTGCAGCACTCCCCTTTCTCTAGTCTTCTGAAAAATCTTCCAATACCTCACTATTGAGTCTCTTTTGTTCTGTCAGTGTTCTTCAGATTCCTGTTAATATATATAGTAAATTCAGTTAAGAAACAGCAACAAACTGACAACCTGCTTCTTGCCCTTCTGTTTTCTCCAGCCAGCTCTGTTTAGGCTTCTCTGGCCTGAGAATTCTGCACCTGTTAATATCTGGAAAGTTAAATATCATGCAAACGTATTTCTGCTTCTGATATTTTTTGTGGTTCTTTGGGTACAGAGCAAAGCACTTATTTGTCTATCCTATTTAGACATTGCTTCCTTCACAGTCTGTGAAAGATACAACTACTGGATCATTCTGTTTCTGACTATGGTTTAAATCCCTGAACCCAAAATAAAACCTATGGAATTTTTAATATTTTTTTTCCCTTTTGGCGTCCCTTAAGGAATCTTCTGTTAATAGTTTGCCAGAAGCAGAAAGTTCAGGTTTAATAAAAGGTTAACAAATAGCTTTCCTTGCTTGCTTTTTCTGGCCTCAGAAGGACTAGCCTAAGGCATTTTTCTGCTTGAGATAAAACAGAAAATGTTGCATGTGTAGTCCTCGATTTACAACCATAGTTGACCCTGGCAATCATGGTCTTAAGTGAGGGGTGTCAAACTCGCAATGTCATGTGACATGTGACGTATCGTGACTTTTTTGCCATTGATGGCAATGGGGTGGGCGTGGTTTCTCTATGATGCATCCGGCCTGTGGGCCGGCAGTTTGACACCTGTCTTAAATCATGACTGTTATAAATTAGATTATGATGTGACTGGACCCAACTTTATGACCTTTTTTGTGATGGTTGTTAAGCGAACCCATTGTTTGCTATGTGCTGGAAACTGGAAGTAAACACTAGTTTCTGGCAACACCTTCCTAAATTGTGATCACATTGACCTAGGGTTTATTCCTGATGGCCTCTTTCAACTCTTTAATTCTACATTGTCATCTTCCGCACAAGGACACTGTGTGGATAGACATAATTGGAATGGGACAACTCATTATGGCCAACTCACTGAGACCTACTCAAACCGTCCATCTTGACATGGCCAACTCGCCCTGGTCAACTTGGTGCAGAAAACTCATCATGGGACAACTCGCCATGGTCAACTCATCGCAGGACAACTCGCTGCAGACAATTCACACAGGATAATTCAAGAGACGAACAAGTGAACTTCTGGTGCTGTATATGTTTATATTTAGCTTTGTTATGGCTAATGTGTTTTCTAATGTGTTTAACTTACTAGTTCTCCAGAGTTGGTTGGCAAGTGGGTAGCCATATAAATAAAATCTTATTTGTATAAAATGTGAATTACACTATTTCTGGTCATTCAGATACATAGTACTTCAGGATGAAATATTACAAGACAGGAAATCACTGGGGTTGTTCTATTTTTCATATTCTTTGTCATCACATTTACAGTACTAGAAAGCAAGATGGGTATGTTTTGTCCAGGTTAGATACTGATTCAAGAATTTGTCTTCTATGCCATTGTCTCATTTTCTTGTCATAGCAGCTGGAGTTGTTGATTACATTTTATTTATTCAATGGTTGAGGAAAGGGAAAGAGAACCAGGAACTTCTCCTGCTTCTTTGATTTGTGATTACAAACTGTGTTTACTCAGTTAGAATTTTTGTATTTTTCATTCATTACATATTTCCCAAACCAATTAATTAGCTTGTTTTGCTGTTACATCTAGATTTGTTCATTTTGACAGCATTATTCTTGTTCCACAATCTTCTTTCCTAGTATAGTATGATAAACCAACTCTTGAGGGCATCTTTCTCTCAGGCAGAATCAGGTCTCCTTCTGCTGTAGGTGCAAATTTTCCATTCAAATAAACTAGCTAGACACATATAAGAGTCACAGACACTTTACTACCTAGTTGAAATTTCAAGTATGGAATCAGCTAAAAATGAAAGAAAAAGAGAGAGAAAGGGAGGAGTAAGGATAATTAAAAAATGGAAAAGTCAAAATCCTGGGCCACATATTTCTAATTCATCTATAGAAGCTAGACAAGATAAGGTAAACCAAGGGTTTAGCATAATGGAAAATTCCAAAGTAAGAATTTGTTGGGCTAGAAGTTAGTTTTGACTAGATGGCTAGATTGATGGCTAGATTGGTGAGTTTAGTCCTCAGTCAAAATTCCCTGGGTTTTTCTTTTACACAAGTATCTTTTGTCAGTGTATTCAAAGGGAATCTGACTATCCAATGATGATCAGAAAAATGCCAAACACAAGTTGAAAACCAGTTTGAACAACAATAGATAGATTTGGGATGAGTTGCAGTGTGAAAGGACAAAGAGAGGGTTGGATCCAGAAGCAGAATGAAGGGAGCCTAAGAGTATCAATTTTCTAATAAGGAGAAATTAAAAGGAGAGAAGGAGAGGAGCAAAGAGGGAGTTCCTTTCCTTTTCGTATCAACAAGATAAAGTCACAAAGAGTTCTTACTCCTGTAGTTGCATCTCCAACAAGCGCCCCTCCTATATCTACTTGTGACATGCTTGTCATAAGGGCATAGAAGGGGCCAGTGGCCATCATTATTAGAATCAATTCAGAGGCTCCAAAAAGCTCATTCTCACCATCCCTTATTTATAATGTCCCAATGCCACTTTTAAATCATATTTTCCCATGCTCTTGCCTTTGTTTTATTCCCAATCCATAGCAGAGACAGAATAAGATTGTATTTAGCTGTTCCAGTTTTAAAGTCATATTTTTTATGTATGAGTTCAGTGCTAAAAGATATTGATAGACCCTATTGCCTAGGCTTAGAACATTATTTGAACTGCCAAAGAGAGCCAGGTTCTGCCAGCTATATTCTACTATTACCAATGAGTGCATTACAGGTTTAATCTAAGGAGTTTTGCATGGCTGTTTCTTGTTTCTATTTCTATGCTGGTATAATGCCATGTTGCCTAAACTTCAATAAGCTATTTCTACTTGTCAGCAGCATTGCTGTTCCCTTGCAGCATTTACTGATTACTTTGTCCCATTACATTCCACAACTTATGACAGGTTGAAGGCATGGGAGAAGAATATGGGATGAAGCAGGAAGGAGCTAATCTGATGTTTTCCAAGCACCTTCTCTGCACCTGTCACGTATCACTCAGGTTATTTCCGAATATGGGTCTAGAGTCCTAGAGCCTTGTTCAAAAATAGCCCAAGTAGGGTCACAGGTATGGAGCACTTCTGTGCTTGCAATGTGTCAGTCAGGCATCCTAGAAGGTATCAAACACTCCATCCCAGGCACCTGCCTAGCCTTGCCCTACAGTATTCTAAAGAGATTATTTACCCCCCCCCACATGAAAACTGTAGGGACAGAATCATTTGCTAGCCTGATGGAAAATAGGTACAATAGGGTTCATCTGTCAATGAAGGGTAATTTAAATTAGTGTATTTTCTGGGTAGTTCAAGGACTGGAAGATAGTTTGTTAATATGGCCGTGAGGAAGACCTCAAATTGCTTGCAAGACAAATACAAGTATTTGAATACATTAGAATGTCCTTAATCTTCTCTGGTGATATTCCCAACTCTATACATATCCCAGGAAGGCTATAACGATTTCTAGTGCAGCTCAAATCTTCCTTTGTTTTTTGTCCTAAAAAAGCTGTTCTAAAAATACTATGATTTCTAAACAATTCACTACTTAGACCAGCTGCCTCCTTACAGTCTCCTCTGTGATTAACTGCCCTTTGACTGATTCCATTCTTATTCTGCACTTCTTTGTTAGTACAAAGTAAGTTCGAAGCTAAGCAAACATTTAAGTTTGGAAGAAAACAAAGAGATGATCACTGTCATGTGATAAATGGGAGTGGGTATAAGAAATGCACACATGACTTCTAGCAAATCTATTTGATGGAGTAAAGAAAAATTGAACTATACTTACGTACTATACCAGTGATGGCAAACATTTTAGAGACCGAATGCCCAAAAACCGCTCTGCCCCCCTGGACCTGGCCCACTCCGCCCCTGCCCTGCCAACTCTGTCCCTGCCCTGCCCCACCCCCACTCTGCCCCCCGCTCTGCCCTAACCCCACCTACCCACAGGGCCACCCGCCTCCACGGCCCTCTGCAGATCACACAGGCAGCCCTGCAGCGCCATGGTGACCACGCCCTCTGCCCGCACCCCGCAGCATTATATGTGTGTGATGGGGTATGAGGGCGGTCCCTGCTGCCCAGCTGCCATGTCCTTGGCTGTGCTGCTCTGTGCCTGCGGGTGACTCTCCTTGGGGGGGGCTGCTGGTGAGGAGGGGGCCGCAGGAGAGGCACGTGCCCACAGAGAGGGCTCTGAATGCTGCCTCTGGCCTGCACTGTACTATACTGTACATGCCCTCTTGTACAGGCATCCATTGATCTGTCTCTTGTTCTGTGTGAAATTAGATAAAGAGTCCCAAATAAAAATATTTAAAATCTAGTTTTTAAAAGATTTTACAGAAGATGGCAATGTAACAATGCCTTGCCTTTTTCAAAAACAGCTAGTTTGAAATAAGATTTAGCTAACATTCTTATTATTATGCCTTCATAAAATCGCTTTCCTTTTGGCTGATTTATCCATGCTGTTGTCTTAATAGAATAACAGAGTTGGATGGGATCTTGGAGGTCTTCTAGCCCTTCTAAGTTAATGGAAGGAAATAAAAAACAGTCAACATGGTCGTTGCAACCATACAATCAAAGTCCCGCCTCTTTTTACATACAGTAAATACATACATCTCTGTGAAAAAGGGGAAAGCTTTAATTTCCTGATTATGGCCATCTTCTTGTCTTTTTTTTTTTTTTTGGCCCCTTCCTGGACATTTCTGATTAATAGAAACTTGACAGGTCTCTTGATGGTCTTGAGAAGCAGCTGAAATATGTTTACATACAGTTCTTTCTAATCTGGAAACTTTTGATTCTGGCATTGCCAGTTTTAAACCTTATATCCACATGTGTCCAATCAATGGTTCTCCTGTCCACTGAGTCCTTTTTCTTTCCTCCATGCAAAAAATATCATCTTGGTCCTCAGGCAGTCCAGTGAAGAAAGCAGTCTTTGGACACCCTGTTAAGTTTCAGAGTCTTAACTGCAAACGGATCAAGGCCTCTTTGATCTTTTAAATTGGGCTTAGAACTTATCTCATATGTTTAGGAATTTTATTTAACTACTATGGCTTTTTTGTGAAGCTATTTAACCAGTTCAAGCTAAATTAACTTTAAAACAAAGGGTTTTAGATACAGAAGATCAATTGGAAATAAAAGGAGGACTAGAGTGATATGACAGCAGTGTTCCAATATTTGAGGGGCTGCCACAAAGAAGAGGACATCAATCTATATTTCAAAGCACCAGAAGGCAAGGCAAGAAGCAATGGATGGAAACTAATCAAGGAAAGAAGCAACC